GACGAGGGCGAGGACGATTGCGCGGAGATGATTGTCTTGCGAGCGGGTTGCATGCTCGAGAGCGTGCTTAAGCGAAGTCCTTGCGATCCATGCAGTGAACAAATGGTTGACAAGATGAGCCAAGGTCCCACTTACTTCGTTTTAAGGATCTCGTTCGAGAGCAGGGCCTCAATGACCTGACCGACAGCTCCAAGCGTACCCCCTAGATTCCGACATGCCTTCGTCACTTGCATCGCCTCCGTCGCGCTCACTTCTTCTACGTCCACGCTTTCTTTTCTCTTGCCGAGCCTTACGCTCTGAGCACGCACGCCTACCCTCAAAACTATCCCGCTCGCCTGTGCGGTCGTCTGTACAAAGCTGCCATCCTCAGCGAGCGCAGCGGCAACACGATAGCACTCCATCGCTCGTGACGTTTGGCCGATTGCGTGCGCTAAGTGGGCATGGTGCAAACTTATGCGGGCTGCGAAATAGGGGAAAATATTGTACGTCCGGGTATGGGCTATAAGCTGTGCGAGGTTCTGTGCTTACGATTGATCGCCATTTGTGAGGAGAAACTAAGAGTATGCGTACTTGTTCTGCTACATCCCACTCGCTACGCATGATTGACACCTAGAAACAAAAGTTAGTGCCAATCAACGGTGCATTTGGGTAGAAACCCACCGCTATAAGCTCACAGAGCAGATCGGCCTTGATGCGCGCAAGCCTTTGTTCCACCTCTTCAATATCACCAAGATTTGCCCACGGTGACACTGAGCATGATGCATCACAAGTTAAAAATTTCGTCAGGATGGTCCAATGTACGCCTTACACTGAAGCTCGATGTCCAGCTCCTTCTCCCACGAGGCCAGACCCTCGACAGCGAACACCTTGCGCTTTGGCTTACGGCCGACAGGGTCCCGCTTCGCGACGCTACTCACGAGGAACGCGAGCAGGAAGAGAATGCGGGGGTGCGTGATCTGGAGGACGAGCGGCGGGCCCGCCGATAGCTTTACCTGCATGTACAGACTTGTATTCAGCTTTCAACGATGCAATACGGCGAAGCTCACCTCGACAGTACCCTCCGCGAACTTGTCGAGCACACCAGAGTCGAGGAGTGCGTGAAGATGCGACAGCCTTGGACTCGCGTCCGCCGCACTGCCTATATGCGTGAAATACACGACGGACATCATAAGCGCATGCACTGCCATAGCGGCCTCGAATGGGTCGTCAAAAAATATGAACTCTTCCGCCGGAGGGGCGTCGGGCTGCCTTCGTGGCTGTCCCGTTGAAAGCGGGTCATCGGGACGGCGGGGCTTCGGGGTCGTTGCGGGCTCGTAGGAGAGCCCCAGCGCTGCCTCAACGCGCTGTAACGTCTCCGCGACCTCCCCCCACATGCTCGTCGCGACAAGGATGCGCAAGCGGAGCACGTGCGATAGGAGAGTTACCCGTATATGCTTCTGGCTGAGCGAAAGTGTCTCCATGTTTGACACAGACGCAAGCGCCGCATGGACGTCTTGCGGATTCTGGCTGTATGCAGGTGACGGAGGTGTTGTTTGATATTTGGCAGCATGGGATGCCTGTGACGAAAATGCCGGCGGCACTGGTGCAGGCTTTGGTGTAGTGAAGATGGAGATAGCGGCAAGGTATGCGGCGTAGACGGTATGCGGTGGGTCTGTGTGCTGGAAAGATGAGAGCAAATTACGGATCTGTGTACGGGCATATTTAATCTTGTGTTGCCAGTGAGAGAGCTGTACTTGAAGCAAAGCAATATGGTGCTTGTAAGCGCGGAGAGATGGATGCTAGGTGAAGCACATAAGCGGAGCCTGTATCAGAGACAACTGGCTTCGCACCTTCTGTGACACGACCGACTTTTCAATAGACAAAGTCAGAGACCAGCTATATGCGTCACAGGATCAAACAACTTACAGCTTTACTTAGTGCCTTGTCCACCTAGCATTTGTCCAGATAAGATGAGGTACGTCTCCTGAAGGTACTGTCCAATACTACTCACCTCAGACTCGATGCCCTGCGCCCACGGAAATTCTTCGTTCTCATGCAAACCACCAGCAATAACCCTCATTCCAATTTCAGCAAGCCCAGTCCATGCTCGACACTCAATTTCAGGAGACAATGCGGGAATGGTGACACATTTGCGCAGTGCACTAAGTGAGAGACATATCGATGGTATGTAAAATTTGTGGGTGGGTGGGTGTGCGAGTAGGGCAGGCAACGAGACGAGCAGGATGGCTTGCGGTAGAGGTTTAAGATGGGGTTCTTGCGGTTTGCTAGGGGACGTAGGCTCGAGTGACAACGAGGATAGCAGGCTCGAAGGCATCTCTGGTGACGAGTCTAGCCTGGCTCGCTTTTGTGGACGTGGGTTTATGTCGTCGTTCATGGTTGTAAACAGTGAGCAGAAACAGGCTGAGATGGGGTGGCGGGAATGAGCGCAGAGTGACGTCCCCGACGCGGCAGATCACGCGTGACACGACGCGTTCGATCTCAGCGGTCACATCCCTTGTGACAGATGTTTCGTCTCCGCTAGAAGGACTGAGGGTGTCTATTCTATATGATACAGGAAGATTACAAAATCATAGAAACATAGAATGTAGGATAGTCGGCAATCATAGAGCAAAAACAAGAACACGGTATGAAGCATGAAGCACGAAGACCCGCATCTACGTCTTCTTTCTCTTGTTCGGCCTCTTGTTCGTCGCTGCCGTTGAAGCTGGCGTGCCACTCCCAGGTGTCGACGCCCGCGACGACTTGGCAGTCGTTTCCTCTGCCTTGACCTCTTCGATGCCGCGTTTTTTACCCTTCGTGCTTTTTGTCTTCACTTCCTGCGCCTGCTGCTGCTCAGCCTCTTTCTCGATCATGCCGAGAAGAGTGTTGCACCGCCGCTGGAGCTCCTGCGGACTTCTGCTCTTGAAGAACCAATCGAATCGGAAGACAGGGAACTCGCTGATATCCTTCTTGATGCGCTCGTAGACGTCCTCCACCTGCATGCCGTAGTGATACAGGCGGCAAAGCAGGTACCGGTCCTCTTCCTCGGAGTAGACCTTACCTTTGGTGGTCGGGTAGTTGAGCTCGAGCTCTTGCATCGGGTACCGTACGGATGTGATTTTCTTCGCAAGCAACGCCTCCAAGTTCGACCTTTTATTCCGCTTGGCCTCGCCCTCTTCAATGCGAGTCTTGATGCGAGGGTATTCGGACAGCTCCTTCCACTTCTTCTTGAAGACATTGTAGTACTCTCCAATTGCCTCTGGGGTCTTGGAGTCAACCTCTTTCGCGAAGAGCTCGAAGTCTTCAGTCCTGACAGATGGTCAGCCTCTTGCAGCCGTGTACATCTTCCTAGACAAACTCACCATCCATAAGTCTCAAGCGCACGCACGAACTGCTGGAAGTCCCGTCGACTCCAGTCCTCAAAGCCCTGCTTGAGCAGCTCATTCTTCTCCGCGACTTCCTCCTCGGTGAGTGGTTCCGCATTGTCGATGATCTCCTGCGCAACCTTGCGGTCCTCCTCGAGCTTCTCCGGCGTGTCTTCAGAGCCTTGGGGCTCCTCGACCGTGGCAGGGATCTCGTTGGTCTTCTTGTAGTACGCGATCTCCTTCTCCTGAAGTACTGCGAGCCTGGGTGGGAAGAATTGGAAGTCTTGGAGCTGGAGCTGCTTCGGGGCGCGTGGCATTTTCGGCGCCTTGTCGGGCTTCGACGGGCCTCCACGCATCGACTCCTTGAAATACGCATCGACAGAGTAATTGAGTTTGCGTTCGCGTTTGGATAGTGAAAGAGGGTTGAACTGCAGCGTCTTGCGACCCGCACGGAAATCCTCGCCTTCCCACTGTTGAACGGACGCCTCGGATTTGAAGTTCGCAAGCGCGTCGAAGGATAAGCCTTCATACTTGCTGCTCAGCTCTGCCGTGCGTTCCTCGCCACGCTGGATAATTTCATCGATGTCATCGTTGATCATCATATCGTCCGACGAGTTTACGATGTGTTCCGCGCCGTGCGTGATCATCTCAAGCAGTTCCTCCTTGTTCGCCGCCTTCGACGTCTGCGTCCGTCCTTGCTGGATAACGAGCTGGTCGAGTCTGAGCTTCTGTGCTGCGCGCTCGAGCATGCGCTCTTCGACACTGCCTTCCGTGACATAGCGGAAGACATAGACTTGCTTCGTTTGACCAATGCGGTGTGCACGATCCATGGCCTGCAAGTCGGCCTGAGGGTTCCAGTCGCTGTCGTACAGTACCACGATGTCGGCGGTCGTCAAGTTGATGCCTAGACCCCCAGCACGAGTCGTCAGAAGGAAGATAAACTTCTCGCTGCCCGGCTTGTTATACTCGTCGATAGCGGTAATGCGGTCATCGTGAGCAGTGCTGCCATCGATACGACAGTACTTGTAGCCACGGAACAGGCAGTAGTCCTCGAGGATGTCGAGCATACGGCTCATCTGACTAAAGATGAGTGCGCGAGAGCCCTTCGCCTTCATCGAGTTGAGCAGCTTGTCGAGAATGACCATCTTGCCCGAGTTCTCTATCAGGTGCTCGTCTGTCGTGTAGGGTGGGCCAGGCTCTGCGCCGTCGAAAAGGTAGGGGTGACAAGTGACTTTACGAAGCTGCATAACCATGTTCATCAGGCGCGTCTTGCCCTCTTTCTTGCCAGTCAAGCCTATATGCGAAAGATATTTGATACACACTAGCAAATAGCCTGACAGAAACGTACCATTGACGGCATCAATATCCTTCTCGAGGACAGAACGGTACCACTTCCGCTGCATCTCCGTTAGACCAACGTAGATGTTGATCTCCTTCTTGGGTAGAAGGCCCTTCTCTACATCGCTCTTGACGCGGCGGAGGAGGAAAGGTCGGAGAATCTTGTGCAATGCCTCGACAACCTTCTTGCTCTTCTCATCGTCAGATTCGCCATCGGCCTCGTCCTTGTGCAAGAAGCTCTCCAGGTCAGCGTAATCAGAGAAGATCTCGGGGCAGATGAAGTTCAGGAGAGCGAAAAGCTCTTTCATGTTGTTCTGCAGAGGAGTACCGGTAATCAAGAGACGTCCACGAGACATGAATGATCGGACGATCTGGGAGAGTATGGAGTCGACGTTCTTGATGCGGTGCGCCTCGTCGATGGCAATGTACTCGAACGAAAGCTTCTTAAGTGCAGACTTTTCGATAAGACAGATTTCGTAGGAGGTAATGAGGACGGAGAAATCTTGTGGAATGATGCGGTTGGCAATGATCTCAGCACGTTCCTCCTTGGTGCCAGTGAGAAGGACGGTATTGATATCAGGAGTCCATCTCTCGAATTCGCGTGACCAGTTCTGAAGAGTGGACTTAGGCACAACGACGAGATGAGGTCCTTGAATATCTTTGTAGTGTTTGAGGTACGAAAGGAAGGCAATGGTTTGCAGAGTCTTTCCGAGGCCCATTTCATCGGCCAGGATACCGTTCAGACCGTTATGGTGGAGAGAGACCATCCAATTGAGACCTTGCAGCTGGTACGATCTCATAGCACCATTGATGACTTGCTTGCGATTAGCTAGTATGAAGAGCTACAGGAGTATTTGCACTCACAGCTCGGTGACTCTTCGAAAACGAATGGTTGATCATCCCCGCCTGCCTGCAACTCGCCGTCCTTCAACATCTCCTCGTCTTCTTCCTTTTCCGATTTTCTGTGCCGCGTGCTGTTATCCCTGCAAAGCCGTCAGAAGACCCGTATTACTCGGGCGCCTTAGGAAAACTTACACCGCCTTCTTGCGGCCTCGACCCTTGGGTTTTGGTTGTGAGTCCAAAAGAGCAGCATACTCAGGATCACGAGCTTTCTATATGAGTGATCAGCAATCTTCATATGTGGCGTAGACTGTTGGTCGCACCTTGATGTCGACAAAAGTGCTTGAAGAGTTCAGTTTGACCGAGCAGATATGAATAGCGCTTCACAGCGTCAGAGATCTACAGGAGCAGCTTGAGTTGCCACGTAATGTCCGAAGAGGTTCGCGCGCACCTTCGCCTTGTCCATCTCTTGCCTTTTCTCCTGCAGCTTACCCTCTTCTGCCTTTCGTTTCCGTTTGCGGGCCTCGCTCGCTTGCTGCCTAGCTAGCTTGACGGGCGACAAAGACACAGGCTCGCGACTCTAAGAAAAGAAAACGCGTCGCGCGCGTTAGGTACACGGTCCAAGCCACACGAGGCACAATGTTGGCGCACCTGGGTCGGCTCATCCTCGCCGTCCAACTCGTCCACTTCCATCGAGTCTCCTGCATCCTCAACATACTCGCTCTCCGGTCCCTCGCTTTCCTAGATGGTTTCATTTAGACAGCGTCAGAAACCGGCCAGCACTTGACGCTACCTGACGGGACACGATGTTGGAGGGCACGACGTCGCTGAGCTGGTCATCTTCCACAACCACCTCTGGGTTCTAAATCGAGAATGAGCTATTCATGAGTCCAGTCATGAAAGGCGCCACGCACGCTCATCGTTGATACCGCTAGTGGACCTTACGGTATGAAGGTGGAGGTCGAAGGTGAAGAACTGCTGGGCGTTTGGGGACTAGGATAAGCCATTTCTGAACTTGTCTATAAATAGTTTTTAAGAAACTCCATTTGAGGAGATGCTTGGGCCGCCAGCTTGCCTTCACGTCCGCCGGCGCCCCTTGAGATCCAGAGCTCGAGATGCCACTCCCCATTGTCTTGCCACTTGCGCTTGTTGCTACTACATTCACAGGTCATCAACTCTGGCAAATATCAAACTCCAGTTACAAGAACAGAGGTCTCGGTGTGCTAGCGTAGGCACCGGAACACAGCCCGCTGCGCTCTCTGCTTGTCTAGTTTAGAATGGTGTCGTCTGGTCCTTGCGAAGAATTCCAGCTTCCCCGCGTTGAAAACCCATAAAACCGACGGAGGTTCACTTCTTGACCATTTGTCAACACTGTCTTACCCACGGCACCCCCGCACGCCGCATTCGCACCTCCACTAACCGCATGTCAGGAGATTACGGCGCCATTGGAAGCATCTCGCAAGCCTTCCAGAGTCTCCCCGAGCCTAGTGCGCCCGCTTAAGAGATGCAGCACCTACCAACGCCACCACACTCCCTCCGCTAAGCTCGGCCTTCCTCAGAGCTCGAACTGGGGTCTGCCCAAACCTCTAAGTGCCTACTCCCTACATGTAGACATGTTTTTGTAGAAACAGAGATAGCGCTGATTATGTGGCGTCGTTGTTAGGTGCGCCAATTCTTCACGATGCATTGGCTTCTGCCTGACAGTTCGTCTTAGCCAACGCTCCATTTTACGTTCTTACATAGTATGACTCAAACGCTCCTGATTCAATCAAATTAACAGCTGCTTTCATTGATCGAACGGTATGCTGGATTGACCGACGTACGAATCTCTTTTTGGTTACTCCTCATGTTCTCAGCACAATCATCGATCCCTCGATCTCGGGGAGACTTGTATATTACACCTTGGAGACGTACTCGGCTTTTATGTCGTCCAGGCTATCGATAGAGAGCATCCTGTGGAGAACTTGAGTGCGTAAAGAATTCATTATCGACACTAAACTTATGCACGCATGTCTCGTTTTGTCAGATGCAGTATCTCTGTGATTGCAATGCGTGCCTCAAGGGTGGTTACCGTTGGAATATGCCCAACACTAGTACTCTTATAGCTAGGGTGGCTCGAGCTATGAACCGCTGGCGCTGACTAATCGAAACTCGGCGCAGCCGTCCCAGCGTCCCCTCCTTCGCCTGAAACCCCATCATGCTCTGCTTTATTAGATAGCTCTTCTTGGCTCGCTGACCCGCAGGCAACTATATGTATTCAATTTGGTCGGCATCATGCTTCCAATTGCTATACGACGTGCTCCTTCCCCCCTGTCGCTTGGCTTGAAGTCCGCACCGGAGTCGTGAGTATTCTGGCTTTATGGCGCGGAAGGTCCGTCTAGTGCCACCAACTGTTTATTGACTCACGCCTTACTTATTGCGCCCTAGAATCGACTATGCGATGTTCGGAAAGCTTACCACGATGTAGTGGCGAGAAGAAGCCTCCGCAAACTGGCGACGCATCAACGACTTCTTGCAGGGTCGCCTTCCGCTAGCCGAGAATTGAACCGCAGTTGCCACTCGCAATATCTACTCTGATAGAACCTGTGCGGCTGCCTACGCCAAGGCCCATCCTCAGCATAGCCTCACTCACTGGCGTGCTGCTTAGCGATGTGCACCGATCTGCCAATATCCCCAGTCAATGGAATCCGCGTCGATAGCAGCACAGCAGAGTTATAACTACGGCGTTCACGCATCCTGAACGTTGACCATCATGTCAGACACCCTGCAAACGCTGCAGACAGTATTCAATGTTGCCCTTAATGTGAGTAACTCCAGCGATAACCAGTGGGAGGTGGTCTAAGTGAATACGTTAGACCCTAGAGGCCATCCCAGACCCCATATCGTCGGCAATTACTGCAGTAGTACATCAGATATGGAACGCTGTACAACAGGTAGGATCGTCAATACGGAGGGAGGGATTCATCCTCACGTTGTCTCGTAGGCAAACCAAAACAAGCATCAGATGAGAGTGCTGTTCCAGCACATCTGCGAACTACTCAGTTCGCTGGGATCACCGCAGAACTTCAATGACCAAGCAATCCAGAAAGCAGTCAGCGTGCTTGTACGGTAAGCTTTCGAGACTGCTTCAGCTCATCGCGCACTCACCGCTCACTTGCAGCAATCTGGAGAACGTGCTCAAGTTCGTCGTTTCGGAGCAGCGGAAGACTTTTCTCAAGTCGATGCTCACAGCCGACGACCTGAAGCTCAAGATAGAGGAACACCAGCGTCACATCAGCACTGCCTGTCTCGGTTTCCAGAACGCGGCGCTGCTGACTGCGAACAAAAAGCTCGACGATCTCATGGAGCGCCTCAACTCACACGCGGATCAGCAGGCAGCGACAGCGGCGCAGCAGCTCGCGCTGCAGCAAGATATGGCAGAGAATCTACAGATGCTGCGCTCAGCGGTGACGAGCACCGCCTTCCTCGATGAACTGCTCGGGACGGTACAGGCGGATCCGACGCACATGATGACCGCCATGCAGGCAGTGCTTGAGCGAGAGGAGAGCGGCCAGACCCGGCTCCGGCGGGAAGAAATCGAATTCTTGCGTGCTGGTGTCAAGCGGCTGTCGGTGCAGACGCAAGGGAAGAAGGTCAAGATCAAGAGCTGGACCGTTACTGGTTTCGAAGTTGAGCGCGGGTTCTTGTTGGGTTCGGATATCAGCTCGACGATCCGAGTTGGACGATGGCTTGGAAAGGTAGTGAGTATCTTGGAGATGAGAGATATCCAGGTAAGTTTTAACTAGTGCTTCTGTTCTCTCCGCTCATGCCTCGGCAGACAACTTTGGATTTTGTCAAGGTATGTCGCTTTTCCACGTGCCAGGCGGTATATCGCTCAGGAGAAAAACTGTAGTTGTGGAAATCTCTCCGCAGCACGCGGATTCAAGGTATGCACCTTAGATATATTATTAAATTGCTGAGGATTGATGTCCATGCATCCAGGAATGTTGGGAGCCTCGACAACAGATTCTCCCCCATTTATTCTTCTACCATACGCTCCAGATAATGTTCTGGACTATCTGATAAAGACACCTGCACCGGACTACCTCAGATTGGTTAGTAGACTGTGCTATATATTAATACGATCTGACACTAACCTTGAAAAGGTGTCGGAGATCGCTCGAGGACTTGATTATCTCCATCATCGAGATCCGCCTGTCATTCATGGCAGCATTAGACCGGTAAAAGATGTACAGTCTTCAGCTCGAACGCGCTACCTAACAGGTTCCGCAGGGTGTAGTCCATGTGGATTCGCAGGGGAACGTTACCCTCAGCTGCATCGCCATTCATCGGACGCACCTCGCGCCCATGGACCTTGCCACGACAATGAAACTGCACAACGCGCTATCGCCATGGCAGGCACCCGAGCTACCGGCTACCGGCCCCACCCCCGCAGCCGACATCTATGGATACGGGTTGCTCCTTTCATCCATGCTCACTATCCTCCTGGATAAGCACTCGAGCTCACCCTTCGATGGCGAGGCGCTCTTGCGACGACTAATAGACGGCTGTCTTGAACCGATGCCCGAAGACAGATCAACTACGTCAGAGATTTTGCAAATAATCTCTGCGACCAACCCCGTTGTACGCGACGGTGACATGTTTACGGCCCAGCCCTCTTTGGTCGTCGACCCCCTACCGGAAGGCGTCGCAGAACACTGGCGGCTGGTCCCCATTATGAGGCGTGCTTACGGAGTCGTCATTCAGAACATAGACGCCATTTATCTCAGTACTGCGCCCATCGATGGTACAAGTGACAACCCTCTGAGAAGACTCAGTTTCGAAATCCGGTGCCACGACCAAGGCGAGGAAGGCACCAGTGGGTCACGGTTATGCATCCTACTTGCTGCTTGGCTAACACGACCATGAAGCGGCAAGGCCGCAGGACGGCGCGTACGCGTGGATGGAAGTCGCACTATGCCGACCCACTGTAACCGAATCAGGCCTGAAAACTGTCCACGTCGATTTCGAGGAAGAATGTCCAGGAGCCTACAGAGGACACATGATCGAGCCAACCCGATGGGAGGTCGTGCGCTGTCCGTTCGCTGACAAAGCTCCGCGTACGCATCGTATCAACTTCGACCACTTGCACCCGGTTGTTCGTTTGGCAAAGAAAGGAGATCGTATTCATCTTTACCCGAAGGCACTGTGAGTTTGCATTCTATCTTGCGTAGTACGGGCGGAAACTAAACATATTATGCAGCTTTCCTGGATGGGCCTGCTTCATCTACTCAGCTGAAATCCATGTTGTCACGGAATATTGAACGGCAAAGATCTTAATGCGGAAGTACCCAAGTGTGAACCAACGGACCATATCCCACCCCGACTGTTGTACTTGTACATGCTATTTATATATTGCTGCTCTGTTCAGTCCTCAGCGCGCTTTCGACCCGAGATCCTTGAGGACTTCCTTCGAATGCTCCTTCGCCTGCTTGCTAGTATTGGGGTTGTTCAAGTTTGCCTGTAAAGGGCGCCAAATTGAGCACTATCCACAAAATCATTTTTAAGATGACATACCTTGTGACCCCGCTCCACGTTCTTTAAATGCGCCTCGGAGCTCTTGAGGGCGCCGCTCTTCTCCAGCTCTCTCAGCTTCTTCTTATCGGCTTTCTTCGCCTCCTCGCTGACGTTCGGGTTATTCAGGGCTGCCTCTGTGCTTTGTTAATCTCAGTGGTACTCCTGAGACCGCTGGCACGTACTCAGGCCGCGGGCAACGTCAGCGGGGTCAGCGCTGTGACTTGTCGACTTCGAGCTTGTGCTCGCCGCTCGTGTAAAGTCGTAGAGCGCTGGGCGGAGGCACTGGGTGAACTGACGGCGAACAAGAGACATGGTGGCAACAGTCAAGGACGTGAGAGTGATGGCTACTAACTGCTGCTGGGCCGGTTTAGTATGCCTTGGCCAACGTGGATCCAAATTGAGGTCATAGGGGCCCAAATGATGTCATACACGCATGGGCTACCGAGGATGCGACGAAAGACAAATATGCCTCCTATATGGTACTCTCATCTACAGCTCCTGTCTCCTGCCCAAGTCGGTCCGCTTGTCGTAATACTCATATGCTGGCTCTACGCCTTGCTTCTGTAGTTTGTGCGCGACGTTCTCCGCACCCTTCATGACTCGCAGCAAGTTCTTGTTCGTGAGGCCCTCGATGTCGCTGCGCGTCCAGTTGCGCACGAGGAGTTCGGCAATCTGAGTGAAGGGAGTACTCAACCAGGGTGATAGAACTTGCAACAAGAAATGCGCACCAGCTCCGGGTACTTCGAGACGTCCTCAAGGCCCGTGGGCGTAGAAGGGATGCCGTCAAAGTCCGAGCCCAGCCCTACACTACACGAGATGCTTCGTTCTCAGCCATTTGCGACACAAAAACTAGGAAACGTACTGCTTCTTGCCCGCAACCTTAGCGATGTGCTCAATGTGGTCTGCTACAGCTTGGACGGTAGCCTCGCCAGGATCTGCGACAAAGTCAGGTGCAAAGTTGACCTGTCTCTGTGTGAGACGTAGAGCATTGCGACACATAAGTTAAGACGGACCATGACTACCGCATCCGTCTTATTCTCGCCAATGCCAACCATAGACAGAATGTCGTCGGGAACGTTTCGTTCGTGAGTGTGTACAGCCCGCGCGGAAGAGTGCGACCAGATTACGGGGGCCTAGTTTGATCAACGTATTGTTGACACGTTCCAAATGGTATTCAGAGGCATCATACCTTGGAATGCTTCAATGCCTGACGAGCAGTGTCATCGGAGGTATGGCTAAGATCGACGAGCATCCCAATCCTGTTCATCTCGTTGATGAGGGAATAACCAAGTGGGCTTCAATACGGGTAGTGTGAGCACGCTGGCGGAAGCGACGTAGAGGGATACCAACCTCAGACCTCCCCACTTCGATGGAAGCGTGCCACACGAATCCGCAAACGCGTTGTGGCAAGTGTGCGTGAGTGTGACGTACCGCGCTCCGAGTGTGAAGATCTGCCGCAGGACGGCGATGGAGTTACCTAGCTGGTGGGCTCCTTCTATACCAATCATGCTAGCGATCTTACCATGCCTGATAGCATGATAAATGTCGTGGGTGGTCAAAGCAAGTTGGAATGTCTATTTACAACTGAGAATGAAGGCAGACTCGGTTGGACGCGTATTCAAAACTTACATCGGAGTACTTCTCAATCAAAATCTTGGAAATATCGATTTGTTCGAGCGTGTCTCTGAGGACAAATGCATTTGAATAGCATGCGTGGTGTTGAAAAATGAGCCAGCTTACCGCACGCGCCACGTACTATTGAGAAAATCAGGCCCATCGTCGTGACCTATCCAGTCGGGACAAGCAGCATATGCTGACCTAGTTCCAAAACCCGTATTAGTTACGCATGAGGCATATAACTAGGTCTAATTACCAAAAGAATCCACCAACTTGTCCTTGTTTAAGCCGAGGAATGTCAACGTGTTGAGGGAGCTCGCCGTTCAGGTCGAAAGCTGATGCGTTATTCGCATAAAGTCCTCGCACAAGGATCGGAAGATCTAGCAATTGGTCTCGTTAGCAGAAGCTAGGCACGAAAGCACCAGACCGGTACCAATGTGGCCGTCCTACTCAGCGCGTTCATCAATATCTCGTCGAGCAGTTATCAGCAGAGACTTACAATAACGGGGGCCTTGGCCAGAATCCGTTTCGCTGCCTTACGAGGGTCCTTCGGCAGGCCCACAACCGCATCCACAACCTTGCTCGCCCATCCAGTGAAATGTTGTATGACGAACACAACAACGAGCCAGTAGATCACGAACCGCAGCACACCTCCCCAGGTAAGCCAACGACTGGACAGGCCGCGCGAATTGTCCTCAGAGTGCTCAAATTTCTCGGGCTTTGCAAGCAATGGTGAAGCCTCTTCAGGCCCGAGCATCTTGCGCTTCAGCTTGCCGATAGAAAAGAGCTTCATGGCTGGAGCTGAGGAAGAAATCAGAGCGTGTGAACGCGACTCACGGGGCTAATTAGTAAATATTTTTAGCTGACAGAGGCACGAAAATGGCTGCGAGAAAAGAAGCTAAAAAGCCCGAACACTTTCCGGCGAAAATATAATAGGTATAATTTGAAAATAAGAGTAAAACAAAGTCGCCTTTTTTAGTAAATCTTGTTGTAAAAAGTTGGTCTGCTCGCAGCAAAAAGAGGCGCAAATACCGCTAAGCTATCCATATATAGAGTAATACACATGGAGAAAGAAATGATGATGATTTTCGCCCTAAGGATATTTCGACTCTCCTAATACCTCAAAAGGTGTAAAAGCAGTGTATATTTTTGTACCACTAAAACAATAACATTCCCATGGGGAAATAGCTTAAGTGTATTTATGAAACAAACTGAACGTGCTTTTGTACCTCTATCCGCGCAAAATAGTATAAAATTAGCCTCGTGACTGTCGATGTACAGTAGGACTTCCGGCCGTGCGGGTGCCACTACCGGGCCGTGCCGGCCATTGCCATCAAGCAGAACTGATGCACCTGCGACGCCACAAAGTCCGCACATGATACTGTAACGCTCGTAGCACCTCGATGCTGAGAATCACAAGACGATCATCGACATCTCTGGTGACGGGTACGCATATGTCATGTGTACGCCCACGGAGGACGTAGGGAAGATTGTTGCATTGGGCTTGTAAATATTTGGAGAGATAGCCAGAGTTTAGCCAGATGCGAGGAGACTGGAAGACTCTGGACGAGAACCTGAGCCCTGTCAAGAAGCCCTAATGCACACCATACAGCCACTACTTTAAAACCAGCTTCTGGACATTTTCTCACAGGCCGATAGTTTGAGGTCAAGCACCTGTCTGGGCAGCAGCTAATCGAGACCATCAGATTGTGCGACAAACTTTGTGCACTCAAATATCCTGATTTGCCACATTCAGCTTGAAAAACTATGCTAGTAGTAGCCAGCAGCTTTGAAACTGGGTTTAGGGCAAAACTCTCAACAAGCTCTGCCCTCAGGCGCAGCCCATCATGAGTCTCTGAGTTGCCGAATCCTTATTGACTTTGGAAGTGATGTTGATGAAGTG